CTTGTTACTACTAGTAAGGCACTTGTTACTAGTAGCGATGCACTTGTTACTAATAGCTTCTTGTTTCTACCAGCGTCCGCAAGGGCCGGATGTAATGCACGATCTTCACCACCCGCAGCACCCGCAGCACGCGAGCGACGCGACTGACCTCGACGGGGGGACGGCAGCGAACGCCTGGGAGGTCGGTCTGCCTAATAACGACATAGCCTATAGCCAGATGTGAGTATGCACGACGGTGGAACTGAGATAGTGAGGTATTTTGGATGAACACCCAACTCAGGTTTCTCGATCTCTGTTCAATTCTGGAGTCATAGTCATACCCAAATATTCTGCTTGCACTCAAATGGTACGTCAAAACTCGCTTTTCTGGTAGTGCCGACACCTGCAAATGTTTGGCTCTTTGAACAAACCGACATCGACAAACATGGGGGCGATTTCTGTCGGAGCGAAAGTAGAGGGCTCGGTCTCAAGGTCTGTCGCTGAAGCTAATGGCTGTAGGTCTTCCGCAAAGCGCCAACAATCCCAATGTGGAACATCATGGAACCGTGGAACCCGAGGTTTTCACCCGTCTTTTTTCTGGAAGATAATGTTTTCCGAGATTCCCACCGAGAAGTACGTTGGGGGTTCCATGTATTTCTGCAGGGGAGCACCAAAAATGTTGTTCGAACTAAACATGTTCAAACTTTCTTCAGACCACAAAGGCCGACAAAAGCAAAATCAGCGTAGACGACACAAACCCGGTGGCTGACAGTGAAGGCCAGCGGCTATCATAAGTCTCCCCACCTGTAATATTCTCAGTGTCGGACCGTATTATCATCGTTGCAAGGTTTTCTTGTAAGGGGGCTCAACCAAAGGGCCTGAACAAATCCAACTCTACAAAACCGGACCGACGGGAACCGTTGGAGGCGGCACGGTCTGCCAGCGCACTCGTCGGACTTCGGTCGGGGCTCTAGAGGATCACTGGGGAAAGTGACGAGCTCTATGACTTGGATCACTGCGGCCTCCCAAAAAATGTTGGGAAGTCTAACAAAACATATTGTGCACAAGGTTTGGGGATGGCGTATGGCCCAATGGCATATATGTCTACCCCTGAAACCACCAAACCACCGAAATGCCTGTGGGAACATGCCATACATGGAGTATCACTTGGAAAGCTAAGTAGTCTTCTGATTATCCATTCATCGCATCCAGTTCATCTTATCTTTTGCATCCTGAAGTTCATGGCCTTGCTTCAATCGAGACTAGGCTGATGAGTCCAAGCTTGGGGATCGCCCTTGTCATCAGTCTTGTTCGTCACTGTTTCTCGCTTATCAGTGCCTCAGGGTAAAGCCTTAAGTGGGGTGAATCATCCTGTTCTCCACCATCTTCTCCTATTTTTTAAAGGGCTTCCCTCACGCCCACCCGAAACCCAAACCAAGCGATTCGAGCGAACACCTAGCTCCAACGCCGAGCGCTCCACCGCGAGTTCGCGGCCTTGATCAATCTCAGCATGCGCAAGCTGCCGCTGGGCAACACACCGAAGGGGGTGATGCCTCGCGAACATCGTTCGCGCGAACGGCTTCACCGAACGAGCAGAACGGCTTGCCCGGTCGAAACCTACTGTGCGCCGTTCGCGGCTCACCCGGTCGAGTTCGGCTCACACGATGAATCGGTTCGGCTGTTTGAAAGGTCGCACCCGGTGCACTGGTTCGTCTCCACCAGGCGAAAGAGAGCACCAGGGGTCATCCTGAAAGCTGTGTTGATTTGGTTTCTGAAACAGAGCCATGACAGCGATGCTGATAGACAAGTTCTGGATCCACGGATTTAAATGGAACGGGGCGATGAACCATGAGGGCTACAAACAGTTGGGATCAGTTGGGAAACTCCCGATAGCACCTCGGCTCCCTTGATGGGGAATACGGATACCCCTGGCCCCTGGCTCCTTAGCTCCCTCCGCACCAGCTACATACTAGCCAATGAGTCGTGCCACCAATTTCCTACCTATGTTGGAGTGGAACAACGAAAGAATGGTTGTGTTGTGGGTCAAAAACTACACAGCGGCATTTAGCCTCTTCCAAACCAACCTGCCAGACTACAATCTTTGTTCCTGGGTCTGTGCGACCTGCTATCTTGAGGGGACGCTGGCGACCTCTGCGCAGCATCTTCCACCAACCACACCGGCCAAGGGGCTGAAGAAGACGATGACCAGCTCAGCCCACGACGTTGAGACCACGAAGACATCCAGCCTGAGTGCCATCAACGGTGCCATCAACGCTGCTCCCAAACTTAAAGAACTGGACGGCGCTGCCATCGACGTCCGAAATCCACCGATTTAGACGTGAAGTCCGGAAGCTCCAGAAATCCTGTCGACCACGACCAGGTGGACCGTTTGTGTGGAAAGGTGGACGTGTACCGCAAAGGTCCACCTGTTCTCGTTGAGCGAGGAAACCAAGGGACCCAAGTGACCCGGATTGACCCACTCACTGGGTGTGTAATGCACAGCACCAGCGAGGAGATGTTCAACAGTTCGATGAGGTCAAAAGTGGAAGATGGTGAATGGACATGAAGGTAGTGCGCTGACCTATGGTTTCATGTCAACCAAGATTGATTCTCAGATGCGAGCGCAATAGCACTTTCAAAATTTGTTAGGATTAGTATTAGCAATCTCACAGGTGTACTGTAGGGGAAGCAACCGACAGTTGTGTTCTGCAGTGGAAGGGCTGCTTCGGCTAAGTTTCTCGAATAAGCCGATGTTTGCATTCCGATGTAGTGGCTTCGTCAGGCTTAGAAAAATGCGAAGAAAAGATTGCAAACAGCTGCAGGGAAAAGCGAGAAATATATGGTAAAGAAGAGTCTAAGTATAAAGCATCCAGGGAAAAGGAGAGAAGCCTGCTGCCGGCCGATCATCTTAAGAATTGAATATGTACTGTACAGGCACAGATTCTTCATCGATAATTGCATGACCCCACACTGTCCAAACATCGACTTCAAATTATCTGCAGCCGGGAAACCAGTTCCAGAGGCATCCACGAGAGCAAAAGTATTGCCTGGGACCAAATGCAATCAGTCCTGGCTGACAAAGAGACTGCCCAACCGCGCACTCCAGCCCTGGATATGGCTTTTCTTCGGATTGGTGCAACCCTACTTTTTTGTATCAGGACTGTATGTTGATTGTTGGATCGTCTCTAAGGGGTCTCAAGGAGAGCCTTGTTCTTGAAAGAAGCCTTCAAGTCTTGGTACCGAAAAAGACCCTCTGCAGTCCTAGCACGACCTCCACCAAGAAGACCACAGCGTAGACACAGTTCCTTCGATTCTCGCACGCGCAAAATCACCCGCTGCAAACAATTCAGGAAAACGAGACCTGGAACTCGGCAGATTCGCTTGCGGAATATGGGGATGTCCGGCTGGCGGCGTGTCATCGGTGCATACCAGTGGCCTCGTCACCGATCAGGTCACCGAGTCTTCCGCTGAAGCCGAAACGGATAAAGGAACCGGGTTGGTTCACTGGGGTGCCAAGGCGGGATCGATTCAGTGAGAAGAAAGCGATACTTATTAAGTGTGAAAACGGGTGAATAAAGCACCAAACCAACCAAGCTGTGGTGTTAAAGAGCGTGAATCAATCTCACAGTCAACACTGCGTGTAATCAATTCCAAGCTTCGCAGCCAGGAACGGATAGCCTGGAGCATCCGGGTTCGCTGCCATCCACTCCAATTCCACGCCAACCTTATGATAGTGCGGTGACCCTACATAGAGATATGGATTCAACATGATTCAACTGTAGATCCACAGCAAAGACGCACATGGTTTTGGATGGTTAATTCGTTGATTGATTGGAGAGGTGTGTCGGTTGCCTTGCCTTCCTTGATTTCTTGTTTGTAACTCACAAGGTTTGGAACGGCATGGAACGGCAACGACTGTGCAGCGATGCCTTGCGGTTCTTCTGCCGTCGAACTAACGTGCAGTTGGGGAGGACGGGGTAGCCATCAACCTGGATTTGATCCATGGGGTAACATCCTATGGATCAAGATCGGTGGATTGATGTGTTTTGAGTGGACTTCCCAGCAAATGCGCTGGCTTGAACAGTCTTCCGACCCAAGAGTCCACAGGTATCTAGTCTGTTCTGGTTTCTGAAGTCGAGACGTTGGGAAATGATCCAGGATGTGATTGCAGTTGAAAGAAGCCAACCTCTCATAAGTGGTCCCAAGAAACGGTGATCGAATTCATCAGAATGGCCATGGCGAAGATCACCTGCGTTTCGTGGAGGGTGAGTGACGAGTGAGTGACTCTCAAGTCTTCAAAAACCTGATGAAACTGAAACACCCAATTACATGATTCCATGCGGTACGATTTCGGTCCCGAAAATGGATGAACGACTGTCTTCAGGTCCTTTTTTCACCTGAAGATCACCTCTTCAGGTCCTTTTTCTAAGGTTTGAAGACTCCAACAGGCCGAGAATCACACGGGTTTTCCGTATGGCCACCGGTTCCGAGCTAGGCTTTCCGGTGGATCTTGCAACTGAATGACCGATGCACCGAGTTCCGCCGAAGCTCTTTGTTTTCAGGTGTTGTGCCCAAGGGCATCGGATGGCATCGGATGGTACCTCTGGGTGCCCCCAGGAACCCGAGTTCTGAAGCCTCTGCCGCTTGTGATCCCATGATCCGCGCGCACCATCTCCTGGAGGAAGAAACGGATCTATGGAGAAAACACTAAAAGTGGATTCATTCACACCTACGTCAGAAGTTGTGGCTCAGAACCCAGAACTAGTTGTGGTCAATTTTCCAAGATCTTCAGCTTTGGGCAATGAGGCGTGAGTCAGGCGTCTCTAGTGGTCGACGATACTGTCAACTGTCCTGACGTGTTACAGCTATCTTTGTGTGGGTCAAAACCAGGATACCTTGGTTGACCCACCGGGAAGGTCAAGCTACATAGTGGACCAGGCCTCAGTCCCATATGTCTTCTACATTTAACAGATGCATATGCGCAGGCCGTCGTAGGGGATATGTGGTGCACAAGCATCTTTACCATCCCTACTACTAGGGGTGGATTCGAAACAGCCCAACGTTTGTTGCTCTCATCATCCGCTTGGACGGGAAGTCCTTGTTGTCCCTTTCAACGACAACGGATCAAGGCCCATCACTCGCATCACTCGCATCACTGGTCATGTCTTTGGCCAGTCGCCCCCGTCCCAAGCTTCACACCGACTTCTGCAACTTGGGACCACTTGCGGGGATTCTTCTTGGTCTCACCGGGGTCGTTCTCACGAACCGCTTCGTGAGAAACAGGAGCATCTCTTCGTCGCCGTCCGGACCCGTCCGGCAGGCACTGGGCGAGCTTTGGGCCATGGATGCCTCTTCTGAGACGATCTTCTTGAAGGTGTCCACCTGACGCGAAAGATTTTCAGAGGCAGTGGCGGAAGATGTAAGTCACAAATGGTGACGTGGTCTGGTATGTCTGGTGGAGAATTTGGGGCATCTTACTGCCAGGAGCGGAGGATGATCCCGGTCCACACGTATACCGGGGCATCGGCTTATCGGCACATGACTCGCCGTCTGCAGCCTCAAATCAACAGAACAGTCTAATTAACCATCACAAACCGGTATGTTTGAATTGCTGGCGCCCCTCTTAGCCTCAAAAGGTCTGGTGACGGAAAAATGTCAGTCTATGTCATAGATTTGGAACACCAAGCGCCATATCCCCACCCAACCCCTGGACAATCTATATACTTTGGTGGGCCGGGTCCCTCCAATTGCCCGGCGCCTTGCTGCCCTTGCGCAAAGCACGCGAATAGCCTTAGTGACCATGGCGACCACCGGGGCCACTGGACCCATGGCCTCATGGGTCACTCACCGACATGGCTGTGGGTCATAGCATGCCATGGCACTAGGAGACCGACCGGTTGATCTACCTGAAAAGTCTGCTACATGCCACCTCCACACACCCTGCTTAAATGATCTTGCGCTCTGTAGTCGTCAGCTAGGGCATTGAGAGCAAGCAAACGTGCAAGTGTATAATATACACACTCCGGGAAGTGCGTACGGAAGTGAATGCCTGATCCCACACGCTAACCTAATTAGGTGAAAAAGAGGCCTTATTGAAGCATGTATACAGGGGGTCTGCGCATCCTGAAAGGTCAAGGCTCGAGGCCCAGGAGACCAAAAGTTCACGGAGTCCAGCGAGTCTCAAATGCCGATGCCACAACAGGTCAAAACGTCTGCCGACCTTCAATCTCACCTAAAAAGCCTGGAATCTTAGAGAGGGATGTAGTTAGCAAAAGCCGAAGGTGATCAATCTCCGCCTGCCCCATCGTGGAATAGCTTCGTTGGCACCGGTATCCACGATGGGCCTGTGCCCCCTGCAAAAAAACCTAAAGGCCAGATGTTCACACACTCGAGATATTGCGTACTGAATGGAAAGCCACATGCCGCACGGCGAGCTAGGTATAAACGCCTAAGAAAACCAGAGACAAGAGTACTGTAGGTTGGAGGCCATCGCTCATAGGTTCGAGGCCATCGCTCTTAGGTTCGAGGCCATCACAAGCAGGTTGGGTGGCCATCGCTAGTAGGTTGGTAGCCATAGCTAGTAGGTTGGTGGCACGCAACTGCAAGACATTCAAGGGTGGAGGTCATCGCTAGTAGGTGGAGGCCATCGCAACCAGGTTGGAGGCCCTCGCTACAGTTTTGGAGGCCCACAAGACACAAAACTGCAAACACAAACTAAACAAAACTAAAATAACAAAAAGTCAACAAAGCAAATACACCGGGTTGATCAGACCTGGCTTTCACCATCATGCATAGTCTCGTTGGCATGCGTTTGCGTGATGGCCGCATGCCGTCTGCTAGTAAAAATCAAAGGATTCCCTGTATATAATTCCAAGGGTTTCACAAACACAAAACAATGCACTGCGCATGTACTACAATAATTATGACGCGCCGAGGTTGGTCTTACGAATTAAGCCAGTAAAGGGGTGATATACAAAACCACACTGTCAAGTCAAGATTCTAAAGCCCTCTACTACCGGAACCATTTCTCCGAAAGATGTGCGGTTTCCCTGTGACGCAAACTCATGTAGCTCCAGAAGTCCCTCCAGACCATAAATTCTGAAAGCATTTGTCTCTCCCTTTCTTTTCTTTTCCCCTCCGTAGCCTTGTCCCTTCTCACACTTCCCTTCCCTTCCTCTCCTTTTGGTGTCTGCATCAGATCCCTAGGTCTCATGCTTGCTCCCCACAGAGAGCCCTTGAAAACTCCAGCTTTATGGCATTCCTCTAGTAGATGTCGTAGATTATTGAGGATCATGATTCCGGAAAGTACCCTAAACCTCCTGGACTTTGTTGATATAATCCAATTTCACAGTTGGAAATGAACCCAATGCCCACACTATATGAACTATGACAAGTCCAAAGGATTCCACAAAACCTTCAGTGCATTGGTGTGCAACCAACCGACCGCCAGCCCACTCCCACCATGAAAAATTGTTTCACTTTAGGTCCATAGAATTTCAACAGGTCTGGAGCCTGGAGGCTTCTCCGAAATGATCCCCACTTTCCACTCTTCTGCCAGAAAACTATCCAGACTGGCATCCGACAGCATCGACATCGACGGCCGCCGCGCGGAGGAGCGCGACGAGCGCGTGGAGCGCGTCCGCAGCTCGGGGAGGCCGTTGGGGCCAGGGAAGTTGTGGGCGGCCTGGACAACAAAAAACATGGGAATCGTTTCAGTGGGAATCGTTTCACCTGTAGTAACAAGAAGCTTTTTAGTATGTCTTTGAAGCTTCTTAGTAATAAAACATGTTTTCTGGAAAAAAGTTGATTGATGCCCTTGGAGCAAAAGGTATTATTAGGACATATTAGGCCCAGTATGGCCCAGTCATCTCCATGGTTTTCTTTGATCAATGGGTGTGCTATGAGAATAGGGGGAATTTCTGGCCCAAGTGGTTTTGTTCTTCTTCCAGGGAGTTGAACTGGGAGGTCTCCCTAATTTTATACACCCAAATGTGTTCTGCCATTCCCAACCAGTCTAAAAACATCTGTTGATCAATCCGACAACCCTCGAAGATGTCACTGTTGGTTTCACCCTTTTGGCTGGTTTGGCCTGAAGCAACAGTCAAGGGTGTAGGAAAATCAATGCCATGTTAGTGAGTCGGAAAGTATGCTTTCCAGAATTGTTTCCCTGTACTAACCTGTTGCTCTTACCAATGGATTAGCCATGCTCGAGAGTCATGACGGGTGGGGAAACCACCCAGTGCTACTTTTGGCGGTGACGACGTATGACAGCGTGGGTGGAGAAAGGAAGCCAACATGGTGAAACCAGGCTTCAAGTCTCCGGTGGCCTGACAGCCTCATGAAGGATCCTGGGTCTTGAAGTCCCTCATGGCTTCAGGTGAATCCATTTCATCTTTGAGGACCCCATGATCCCCACGGTTTCCTTCTTTGGCACCCCATGGGTTCTGGGGAGATCCAAACTACGTCCTTTCAACCCCCACGCCAAAAACGACCAACAGCATCAGCCGCCAATCCAACTGAAACCGCCCCAGCCCTCACAGCACCTCAAAGTCGTGAAGGCCGTGTCCGCCGTGTCCAGCGACGGCACCGGCCCCCTGGGAACGATGCGTCAAAAGGAACAAATGGACCGACCCGGCGCAGGCAGGCGCGGACTCCGTCTGTATTCTCAAAACCCTGTGCGCGGACTCGCCGCTGAGTCTTCCTTGGCGCCGTCTTCCCTGCGACCTTCAGCAAATACAAATCCTTAACATGTGTGATCCTTGCCAACACTCCAGCTCCAACACTGGATCTCACGGCTCTATATATATATAATTAGAGAGAGAGAGAGATCATCATCTGCAAATTCCTGTAACTTCAGCTCGCAGTTATATAAATTGATAGATGATAATTCCAATTTTCCCCTCAGCTCCCTGATGCTTTGCTCTCTCCAACTCAATACAGCCACCGCTGGCTTCTTTAGCCCAGGTCCTACCATCCACCACCATGCTGTCCACGGCTGCTGGACTCCGACACCCCAAAACCCACCCCCGAAAAAAGGCACCTCCGACCCGGACACCCGGCACCTCCCCACCCAAGAGCCCAACCGCTCCCCACACCCTCCGCGAATCGACCGTTCACCGCGGCGCCTGCGACGGAGCATCGGAGTTCAGTGATGCGGTTGGCTCGTTGGGCACTGGTGGACTCCACTCATGGCGGGCCTTGGCGAGCAAGCGACGGCGAGCAGGCCGGGCGGAGTACACGGTGCCGACCACCCAAAAAAGGTGCCGTACTTGTGCCATGCAGGTGGTTTCAGGTGAAGAAGCAACATCCACCTGAAACCCTGAAACCACCGGTTTCACACCCACCATGGTGAAACTCTGGGAAACTTGGTGGGTAAGCTTGGGGTGTAGAAGATCTGCACATCAGATCCGATCCCAGAACCAGTGGAAAGTGCCTCCTGATAGGGATTACCATATGAGCTCCTCCAAAAGAATGGACGGAACACATCCTCTGCAAAGGGACTAGTCTTGGCAAGTCTATGTTCGGGCTGTGGAATCCTTTGGCAATCAATATGGGTCTTCACTTCTGCCGTCCAATTCGCGGCCCTTTGCATGAGAGCCTACTGCAGCACACGCTGAACTGAAGCTGGCATCTGGAACGCCAACTTTCTGGAGTGGATGTCGCTCCGAACAGATGTTGTTTAGCTCTGCACCGATTCTATCTGTCCTCCGCTAAAAGCTCGCCATGATTTGGGATGTTCAATTGGATGCTTCTTTCTGTCAGTATCGCAGGCCATTTGCCACCGGGAGATATAGCACCTGTGCCATGTTAGGACTTCAAAACATGACCCAAGAACTCAAGCAACCAGTGACCAGTCAAAAAAAAAATGAAAACAATGGATTGTCATACAAATATAGTGACTACATTGTTACATCAGCACCACCCATATTCGTACATCACATGAATATATATATATATATAGTATGTATAATTACAGCTATGCAACTGTGCATACGAGTCCACTCACCACAATGTATCAAGAGGAAACTGCTCAACAAATAACAAACAAAAAGTGTTGGATATACATGTACATATACACACATAATAGCTCTATATTAGCTTTATTCACAGAACGAAAACCGATTGGAACTGGCTGTGTAATCCTAGCATCCTTTCGCAACAGGCTATCGCAGCCCTTTCGCGACCAAAGTCTTGCCTTTCGCGGGCATACACTATTTGCTCAGCCCTTTCGAAGGACCTTTCACGAAAGAAGTACAAAGATGTGTGTATGATGTCTTTTGCAATAGCTTTCTCGAAGCTTTCGCGACTTGAGATTTGCCTTTCGCAGGGAGTATGTCAGGACAACTGCGTGACGCAAACTCTTCATGGAGGTTTTTGATGTGGCTCAATTGTTGTTGTTTCCATGTAACTGGGATCAACATGTTATGTAATCCAACAAATTGGCTGGTAATTCTAGATGTTAATTCAACCCTATAATGATGACCATGATTGCAGCAGTCTGAATTCTGAGTTTACGCAGACCCCTTGGTATATTGATCTAGATCACATTATGGATTGAGATGGTCTGATCCAATATAAGTACATGTATAATGCAACAATTGGTAGGGAGTATAGGAAGCGTAGTTGCTGCTCAGGCAGGCAGAGAAGCACTTGAGAATATATAGATGCAATTATATCTCAAGAATGATTGATGATGAGGCGAATTGGTAAAAGACTTGCTCAAGCAGGTGCTGGTGCTACGTGCTATTATAAGAGAACCATAGGGGGAGCATGCAAAAACAATAATGAGAAATAACAGGAAGATGCAGAATCCGAAAAATACCGATTGGAATAGAGGCATGAATAAGTTTACAAGAAATCCGAATGGACATTTTAAGCAGCATACAAAGCTTTAAGAGAGGAATGTGGCAAGTAATGCTTACAGCTTACGGCAGCCCTGCTGGTCCTGCGACAGAGGTATGACACTGACACTCTATATATATAAGTTGTGCCCCCAGGGGGCCCTTAATCAGCGAGCACCCATAGCAAGCACCCACATACATGTGTGGGGAATCATCAAAGCAAAAAATGCGTGTAGATAGTGAAGACCTCGCGATGCATCCCCACCCCCTGCTCGAATCTGCAACTGGTCCAAATACTTCCAAGAAGTGATTCTCTCATGTGTCAGCAACCTAAAACTTCACGCCTGATGCAAATTGCATTACAATTGGTAGCCTGTTCCTGGAGGAATTATGAGGAGTTTGCCTTTCCATTTCCTCAGCAAGATTGCAGAATGTTGCTATATTTATATACAGTAAACAAAGGAGAGAAGGAGAAACTGTCAAGCATCATGCCTGGAGACTAACGATCAAGGCTTCTACGTCGTCACCAAAGTCACCGCTTACCTGCCTTCTTTTGCAGGTCGGCACTGGTGCTCTTCACTTCGAGATGGGCAGGACGCCAGCCAACCCAAACGAGCCATGAAGGCACGTGCGGCAAAGCCCCCCTTCCCCTCGCATGAAGGGTCTCATTCAAGCGGTGAAGCCAGCCATCCAAGCGCTCCAAAAGCTCGGCGTGCTGCTCTCGCAGGACCTGGACGTCCGCTCCAGCTGAAAACGCTCGGGACGTCTTTCGCGTGTTTAGACCCATGTACGGAAGAGTGACCTACATGGGACCATGAAATGAAAGGGACAAATCATGGTAAATGTATGTTATGTAAATGTAACTATTCCACATACTAGTCCAGTCTGGGATCTTTCGAAATTCACGGATCGGTGGGTGCATCTATATCATGATGCGATGATTTCGGCTGGCGACAGGGCCCCTCCTTCAGGTTTTCGGAGTCGCTTCAATCGGGTGCAACAGTGAGAAAACACGGTGTGTCTGTCCTCTCCACGGGCCCAAAAAATAGTGAGATACTGTAAGTGTTCAGATTAGTTTGCACAACTCAAATAGAAGGTGTATATATAATATAATATAATATAATAGATATGATGATATGATAATATAGTATCAGTATATGATAGTAGAGATGGATCCCTACCTCAAACTGGTCACGGGTGTATTGTGCAATCTGCTCTGAAACCACAGACGCAGTGGCCACTTCCTTCCTCATATCCAGATCGGCCGTGTGACTATATAAAAGTCACACCCACCCAGACGCAAAAGAAAAACATCCAGGCCGCAACTGCAAACCGATTCCTCCATATGAACGGCGTATATGCCAGTTGAACCCAGCAACCAGTTGGACCCAGTACAACCGTGGGATGAGTACGACTGTCCGACGCTGGAAAAAACGGAACAACCTTTTGTGTGACACGGGCGTGTCAGCGGCGAAGCTACTGTTACTACCTGAAGTCGGAACGAATGCTGAAGGCGAATCCCTCTAATGCTACTACTGAGATCGAGGTTCTCAACGTTTATACATTAGACCGCCCAAAAATTGTGAAATTCTACAAAAACGCATGTACCTGAAACCTGAGTGACCCTTCTTTTGAGTACCAACCGTTACCGATGTTTCCTATCAACTTTAAGTTTGGGGTCAAATGGATGCAGCCATACATCCACTTTATACTATTTATCATGCATTAGTTTCCCTCATCTTCACAAAGGCCTAGTAGTCCACATCGACGAGCTTGCTCATGACGAACAATTGAACGTGTAGTGCCATGCCGCTAAAAAATAATAGACATCTCCTTCAGTGCGCCCTGAACATGTCTGCATCCACATTCATCCACTATGTAAAAAAAGCGAACAGTCACCTGCCATCACTGATCGGGTCGATGGTTTTGCTACCCCCCCCTCTTTCCTCGGTTCCAACATGCACACCGATCTTTCCAAGGGATGCTTCGAACGAAACTCTCCCTTCAAGCGCTCTCAGCCTGGCCCACCATGTCTGGCAGCTCCGAGCCCTCCATGCTGCGCTGGAGGCAGGACTCCCGGAGAAAAAGAGCTGCGGGTGGCATGGCCAGTGCGTTTCACGGACGGAAAGGAAGATAGAAGAACCATGCGGAAAGGGATCAGTTGCGAGAATGTATCGCAGGATGACTGCATTGCAACAAATCTAAGGCCTATAATGAGTCAAAGGAGAGCTTGGTCTTTTTGAGGGTGTTCCTGTCCTGGTTTTTCTCCAAAACTTGTGGTTTGGGGAGGGTGCTGAGCTCTTAGCTTTCCGTGGTCGTAGACGGTCCATCACTTCGACCACGCAGGTTCAGCTGTCGCTCCTTTTGAACTCGCTCAAGCAGGCGCTTGGGCTGAGAACCATGCTGAACCATGTGCTCAGCACCTCCGATTTCTCTCTGCAGATCTCTTTGATTCGTTCTCCATTCGCATCACCAATTCCCCCTGTTGCAGTGCCAAGGGTGATGAGAATCTGCGTGCTTGGTGCCAACTTCATCATGAACCTGTTGATTAAGGTCCTCAGGTGGTAAAGAGCCACTTACATGAATCTCCCAGTCTGTTGGACAGTTTCGCACCTATCGTCCACCTTCCTGGATGTTCGGGCATCAAGGATTCCAGTTTCGGTGGTGGTGTTGGCGAAAACATGAAGGGAGCATTCGATGGGAACCTAAGTCTGCCGTTTCACGCGGGAATGCAAGCTTCTCACATCATATCACCATCTGTCAGTCACCATGTCGATTTGACACCGGGGGAAGGAATCTCCAGATGTTGCACACGCCGCGCGAAGACTGGGTATCCGCTACCCGTGGTTTTGAGCAATTCGGTGAGAATAATATGAGTACTGCGAAAGGAGTGTCTTGGAATGAACTGGAAAATGAAAAGAACTGCTGCATGCTGCATGCGTTTGTTGAAGCATTCGTATTCAATCACTTAGACTTAGACTCGACTATGGGTAGCAAACTAGCACACAGACTATCTCCATGTTTCACGGGTGTTTGCCTTGTCTCATCAAGAAAATCTGTGATGGCTACTGATTGGGGTTCCGACTCCAGGATCGTGATCCACATCTGTTGGCGGGATGCTCCGCCGCTAGGTGAAACCGTTCGACGCTAAAGAGCGATATCGATGAGCGAAATAGGGGGCCCAAGGAGCCAGTCAGGATTCATCCATGAGGAGATCTCAATGTTGCTTGATATGTTTTTGGTTGTCCGTTCTGCTTGGGAGAACGCCTTGATACTGTACACGGGTCATGACGGTCATGAGAGAGATGTGAACTTGGGAAACATGGGGAGGGAGCTGAAGAATTGGACCGTCGCGGCCGTTTCGTGGGATGTCCATCCCAAACCGACCTGTCGAGGTTCGTCCTGTTGCAACTCAGTCCTGCAGAGATGTCCGCATGATTTTCCGGGGGTTAGCAGGACTGTGCTCTGGGACAGCCCGGACAGTGGGTCTGGGAGCCCCAAGGAGAGGATGGCATCAGAGCAAGCTACACCGAAAGAAAAGGCAAATAGATTCAAGAATGCAGAAGTTGTTCTACAGAAAGTTCAACAAGTTTCTCCCTGCTCCAACAAAAGCATGTGATGTCAGTGATGTCCGATGTCCTGTCCTTTGGGAAAGGGAAACCCTTCCGTCGCGTACGTCTACGGGGCTCTGACTCGACTCCGGTGCGCCTCACGGCGAAGCCGTGGCCGCCACCCCCAGATTCGCCGGAACGTGAGGGTGCTGCCGATGGGCAGTTCCTCATGTTCGATCATGGGCCTCAGCATGTGGCCTCCGGCAAAGACACCGCTGCGACCCGTGGCTATTCCGAGGCGTTGGATTAGAGATTCCATAAGATTGGACCAATCTAGCAAGGGCTGGGTGAACAACCTGTAGCTCTGAACCGCTTCCTGCTTAATGGGGAATATACAGTAGAGACCCCGGCGACCCATGCCTCCTGAGCACGATGCTTGGTGCTTGAGGAATGGTGGATGGTTCCAGGAGTATGAATTGGTCGGGCCCACCATCCTCGCGGAACCCCAGAACCGGGTTGGGAAGCTTGGGGGGTAAAGCGGGGTAGCATTAAAGATTGGAAGCCCAATTTCTCGGGGGTATTCAAAGACTCGATGGAAAGTGAAGCTTGGTGGAAGTCGTGTTCAATCGATGATTGTGGAAACACAATCACTATTGATTGGCCAGACTGCCTGCAGGCTGCATGCGGCAATCCAAACCATAGTAGATCAACAGTGGCCGAACATGCTGTTTACGACACAGGCCAAGGAGCTTTGACACGTCCCCACTCGACCTTCTTCTGAACCTTTCCTCCCAGCCAACAAACCCAAATCGAACAGGTTCCAACGTCCGGCCTCAGCTGTAGAAAATCAGACTTGGCAATGCATGCCCTCCTGCTAGGCGAGCAGATTTGAGCTGTGGAGCCATACGGACGATTCTACGTGAGGAAGACCATACGACACACGGTTGGTCAAAGAGAATGGTCTTAAGCAAGTGGGTGTGTCTTTTACTGAGAAGACCCGGAGACCCCCAACCAATGGGTTTCTAAGTTCCTTCAAGTAAATTGAAATGTTGCGAGGGCATCCCCTGGAGATCAAGACCCTGACGCTTGGCATATTGCTTCAAGCGCACAACACACGTCCATGTTCTCGTCCTCACCATGTTGGCGCCTTTCAGACACGAAAAAGAACCGCGAGAGATCCATGGGAAATCCGTCCACGCCGTGTTGGCACCAAAAGAAGCTCCTAGAGACTCCTGAGGTTGGGGGCTGCCCCTGTTGGAATTGGTGAAAGTGGTGGACTGGTGGTATTGGTGGAAGACCTGCTTGAGAAAGAAGCGTTTGGGAAATAAAGACTGGAACTAGAAGTGAACAAATCGCACCGTTTGGAAAACAGTCTTGGCCACCGTATCAGGTTGAAAGCTTGTCTTCTCGCTTGGCAAGCATTCCAAGAAAAGAACGTTGACAATTGGTTGGTGTGAACTTGAAGACCGCAACCACCGAATTCCCCCAACATGTGCGCGTGCCATCCATTTCGCTTCGGCCCCCTCCTCTTCGCCCTGCCAGTCCGCGTATTGGATGATTCTGTTCGGGATGCCACCCTTGGAACTATATGAACCATGGTCATCCCTCAGAATGCTCATCCTCTGATCAAAGATTCAAACGGGCGTTGTGGTTTTCAAAGCTCCCATTGACGGTGGATAATGTAGATGACTGTCCCTTGTGACCTACTACAACCAAGAGGTTAGGTCATTGGACAAATATCTAACATTTGAAGGGGTATGATATGATATGATATGATATGATATGATATGATATGATATGATGATGATGATGATGATGATGTCTGTGTGTGTGTGTGTCTGTGTGTGTGTGTGTCTGTGCACTCTGGGTCTCTGTCCAGGCAGAAATGGACAAGCCTTCTGTGGGTATGGTATGTAGGGGAGATCTGGTGATACCACACTCAGAATTCCCGTGGATGGTGAGGGTTGCGAACAATTCGAGGCGAACTTGGAGCGCTGGGCTCGTTCCCAGACTTGCCAAGCCTTGAACAAAAAGAACTCAATGTTGGTTCGTGTGGCAAGATCGGGAGAACCCGAACCAACCGGGGGCATCATATCTCATCATGTCTCATCTCCTTCTTCCCCTCCCCTCTTGAAACAAGGAGAGTAGCCCCAAAATGATGCACAAAGAAGCAAAGAGGTGATGGATTTGGGTGAAGCCAAGGGATTAGACCAGAACCAGCACTGGTAGAAGGGTCCAGTATGGTCCACAGCTTCAACCGCTTCTTATCTCACCTTTGTCTGCGCCCGGTTTGGCCTGTTGGGCACCCGTTGGCCGCATCAATGTCACACGTGCCAGGTAGTGCTGCATCTCCTGTCGACCGGTTCGACCGGCTGAACACCGGAGTGGCTGACCACCCCCATGACTCCCGAAGGTGTGGAGCTTAGGATCTAAAACTCACTCCTGGCAGGGCCTTGGTCCTCCCAAAAGTTTGGAGTTTGACCCACACCCAAAGACACTTGATCAAATCTATGTAAGACATCTGCATCTGTCGGATCACTCAAAGTCAGAAGAAGTCTTCATTGGCGGTCTCTGGTGTTTCCCGTGAACTTCGAGTCCCGTCAAATTTTCTTCAAGTGGTCATTTTTGAACCATGTTCTTTAAATGAGGACACCATTTATGTAGGCACCAGGAGGGTCCAGGCTTACCTTCTGAGGTTCGGTCTGTGGATCCCTAGAGTTTGAAACTGTAAAGAACCTGCCTTTACAGAGGTTTGTTGACTCGATCCAGTGATTTTGTGGCAACGCTTGGACCTACACAAGACCGGGAAACTTTAGCGGGTGGGGTGCACTCACGACAAATATTCCTGGAGGCACCGGCCCGGCCGATCCTAAGTGATGTTGTGCAGAATTGTATTGGGCGTTTGTCCATCAGCAGTGGCTGCCAGTAGCTTTTGATGATACCCATGACTACGGAGTCTGTGCTTGTGCATAGACATCTACGGACTCCTTGTTTCGGAGTTCGTCGGTCGGTCTCGAATCCGACCAAGAATAGGCATGCGGCATGACCGAGAATTTGGGCAACTCTCTTGCCTTTTAGATCCTGATCTCTAGACCAAAACATGATTGTATTTGTGAGCATTGGTCCAAGCTCCATTCCTGAGAGTCAACATTACCATTCCAAGCCTCTCAAAGTACAAACCGAAAAAGAAAAACAGCCATCCAGCGTTTACACCTCCACGAACCTCGAACCGTTCATTTTCTGAAGGAAAAAATTAAAAAAAAACACGTCGTGGACCAAAAGCCCTCCCCTTGGCAGACCTAGACCCTCTCCGGTTCGTGGGACCGTAGAGGTGCCCAGGTGCCTCGATGTACTTGAGTTGCTCCCGCAACTTCGCCTCGTGGGGCGCCGGAACGGGCTGCTCCGTCGCATCGGTGGACGAGCCGAGAAATGGAGAGGAGATGGGTCTTGAAATGTCCGTTGATATGATGCCATGCAACTTCATTTCAAAACTCTTCCTCAAAACAGACTGGGTCCGCTTAGAGTCGACTGTGATCCTCCAAACTCGCGCATCAAGACTGCAGAGCCCCGAAAAAATGATTTAAAAAACAACGCTTGGTTCCATGAATCAACGGCTGGGCGATGAGAAAACCTCCAACCAAACTCCATCAAAAGGAGCTCCGGCCAGACCGTGCAAATGTAATTTGTAACGTGTTGATCAACACCTCGGGGGTTACTTTTCTTCGAGCAACTAGCGGATGACGATAGGCTCTGTATGGTAAAGCTGAGCTCTATCAATTGTTCGTGGCAAAGTGGTAAACTCTACTGGTACTAAGGATTGCTCAAATCACATCAAGAATCCTTCCAACCAACACCTGTAACTAGCTGCTTATCTCAAGGCACACAAACACGCACAGGCAAACAAGCCCACACTCAAGATATGATGCGTTCGATTTGGCTGCGCCGCCCCCTAAAGGCCTATATGTTAAGAAAAAAAAGTCCTTGAGTCAACCAAGTGGTCGCAGAACCGACGCAAGGGCTGGAAATCTTGTTGTAGTTACAAGCAGGGACCAGAAAGAAGTGGGTGGTATCCATCGTCTCGCAGGTGTGTGCAATCCGTGTCCAGATTGCATATTACAGCAAACTTGAAGTGTCTTCGTTGAGTGGTGACTTCAAGCGTGCCCACCGCTCCCCTGCAAATTAAACAGCCCAAAGGCTCCCTATGATTCCAAGGGCTATACACACACAACACACACCTTCCTTTTGTTCGACCCCTCTTCACCCCTCCTGTCTTTGACGTCGCCCCCATCCCCAGGTTCGACTGAAGGAGCGTTCTGTTGTGTGAGCGCGTAGAGATCCACCGAACGCGCAGGACCGTGCAGCTGAATACAGCGCTCCGTGAAGTCCTTGAGGCCTCGGCAGCGAAGGTTCGGCTTCACCCAGTGCGGTGGGCGGAACATTTGCACAATCCGAGGTCAAAAGAAGATTGAAAGAAGTATTAAAATATATGGGGTGAAATGTGTTCCGTGTTGGTATTGAGTGTTGGATGGGATCTCTTTCTCACAGAAGAAAAGGGTTTGAAGGCGGCTAACACGCGTGTCAGTATTCCACCATACATGGCCAGCTTTGGTTATTAGGTGAGCTTCCCTGAGCACGCTAGTCTCTTTGCGAGTCCACCACTGAGCAAACCACTGATCCGGGTCCACCATGTCAAATCTAGACAGGAACATCGCGCTCCAAAACCGTCGGAGACTGGTCTCCCACCGCTCGCGTCCGTCGCGCCACGGATGACGACCGTCCAGGCGCTGATGACGTTGTCGCCGTCCGCGTCCAGCGCGGCAAAGAGCGTCCAGGCGTCAGCCGCGCCCATCTCCAAGGACTCGAAGAAGGCGCGGACCGCGTCCTGGACCAATTCGGGTTGGGTTTCACGAAAGTTGGACGGATCGCTGGGCTTCCTTTCAGCAATCTCTAGCGTGGGGGGGGAGGGTGAAACTTCCCTCCTTCACCTCCTTCCTCCTTCCGCATCACGAGTGGAAACCAGTTGATTGACTCGGAGACGCGACGACCCGACGACCCGGGCGAGGAACCGGTATGACGGAGACCGGCGAAAACCCGGCGCGACGAGCCGGGGTTCGGTGGCCAGTTTCGGCGAGTGTTCGAAGTGTTCAGTCCTGAGGGTCGGATCAAAGTTTCAGAACATGATTCTTTTTTGACCCAAATGAACTGAAAAGTCGTGAAATGTTTTGTTGGTCCTCACTTTGAGAAGATAGAACCTCCCACCACATCCCACCTATTAAGCATGGTCGTTTTCTTTTTTGCGGGAGGGTCACGTGTGTTCTTTTTTAATTGAATAAGGTCCTCGGGATGATGAGACCCAATATGAGGACTACTCAGCTGCCTTCCTTTACGTTTGCGTCACCGGGCGGGCCGGTGTCCCCAATTCGGCCCAGCTGCGTCGTCGAAGTGGCGCTCGAACTCGCTGATGGTGATCATCCCCAGACCCAAATCATCGATGCCTCAGCGACGACTCGGAGCGGAGCGGAGGGGACGTCCAGCCAGCCCCAAGGGGACGCCCCGGGTTTGGGTCCGCCAACACGGGCGAACATCGAATGGATCCCCAAGTTGAGCCCCCAAGAATGGAGAACTGGGAGTCAGGAAGCCCAGAACCCCGGGAGTTGACTACCACATCAATTTCTTATGCTTTCACAGCTTGGCGCTAAGCATCGCTACGCGTGGCCGCCTCAGCTGTTTGACGATCACCTCTTCTGAAAAAGAACGGACCAATGTCAACTCCAAGCGTCGGTAGAAGAGATTCGAGACCAACTCTTTGAATTCCTTCTTGTTCTGCAAAAGCCCATGGATGACCATCTCCTCATCCCGGGCGTGTCGCGTGACCCACCCGGGGCCCGGTCACGCTTGACACTTCCAAGTTCCAAGATCAAACGAAAATTTTCTGCGGCCAGCTGTGCTAAAGGTCTGCTCTTTCAATAGAATAAGCAAGAACAACACTCCATATTATATAACATTATATATATATATTTTATATATTATATCAAATCAAAAAATATTCCAAGCTGGAAATGATCAAATGTCAGGTCCCCGCGCTTTGTTCGAAGGGTTCGGGCCTTGCACCAAGTTCTTCGAGGAGTCTCTCTTTTGCTCATGCAGGCTGACCAGGATAGTTAAATGATGTGAAGAGCCGAGGTAGGATAGGGCACCCCCATCTTTTGTTGACGATGGGAACTCTGAAGCCATGTCTTTCATATCGCATGGCTGGTATGGCTCAAGAATCAGGCCAAGCTCCCGAAATCCAAACCACTTCGATGTCCAAACCCCTTGGCCCCTTGGCCGGGCCCCTAGATCTTGGACGGTTCGGAACCCAGCTGCCAAACCACTGAACCCCTCATCAGCGCCTTTCAGCCGGGACACGTGATCCCTTTCAGCTGCCTTGATGGCAGAATGGCAGAAGACGCCTAAGCCGAGGAAGAAAGAGTGTGTGTGTGTGTAGACTTCTAGACTTTGAAGACGTGAGTCTAGGACTCCCTTTTCCATCGCTCACAGAAAGGAGGGGACATCAAAATGCATCCCGAGCACCACAAGGGGCCAATGAAACCCAGCCCGAAAAACTCAAGTGCCACAAATCATCGTGTGGTCACAGCACTGCGGACTGCAGCCCTTTCCGAAAGCGACGAGCCTTGGCCAACCTATAGGATCGAAAGGGAACAAGCCGATCATCGATTATGGCCTGGAACGACTTCCCAAACACGTCTCTGCACCGTGTCCAGCCATGGATGTCACAGAAAATCCATCCTCCACCCCCAGCCGTAGCAACGCCGGTCTGGAGGATGAGGGAGAGGGGAGGGATGCAACGGATTTCCAATACAGAAATTTAACGGCTACATGGCTACACATAACATGAACCTTAGGATTGACCTTTCTTTTACCTTCTTTTCTGGGTGGCTGATCTGGCGGAACGGGTCCATTGGGGACACGTCGCGACGCGTGGGGACGCGTGGGACACGCCTTGGATCATTGAAGTCAAATGGGTGTGTCCCCTTAAAATCCATTCCCAATTGCTTTTTTATCTTACATAAATCTATTCAATTGGGTTGTTATTTTTCTATTTAAGACTTGGGCGCTTTTGGACTAGTGACTATTCAGGACACGTCTGAGTTTGCCTTATATACATCACCAGTGTCGTCTGAGATCTACCGAAAGGAATCGACCCAATCTTCAAAAGATATTCAAGGCAAGGTTTGGTTCCCGGCGCTTGCGTTGGACTGCGAGCGCGACACGACCATCCTGGATCATTGATGCGAGCATCCGGTCATGACGTTCAAGACGGCAAAACCTGATTCAGAATGGCACACCAAGCAACACAAATCAACGGTAAGGGTTGTGACTTGTGCAGATCGAAGCCAGAACATAAGCAGTTTGCCAGAAACTCTGTACGAGTAATTACTTTCCATGTCGCTTTGACCTTTCTCCGTTTTGATCCCCTTTGTGAGAGGTCAGCTTCAGTCCAGTTCTTTCTGCAGCGGTTGGTCATGACTTGCTACCAAGACCACCATTCCAGCTTCCACAGTTCGGAACTGTGGCAGAAGTACATGTCCACCACATCAACGTTCTATAGATTCTAAAGCCTAGCCTGCTTGGCCTTCAGGCAAGCTCTTGGCGCATTAAGAGCTCTCGACTTGTGAAGAAGCCGAGGAGCTGATGAAGGAGATGTAGAGATGAAAGAGTTGAACCCAGAACTCGTCCAAATACCTGCAGTCGACGACTCGACGACTCTGAAGCTACAAGGGGGGCGTGTGAGGGAGATGCAGGTTTGCTTTGGTGGCCCCAATAACTAGAGGGCAAAGACACGGGACACCTGAGAACCTGGTCACTGCAAGCATAACAAAGTGTCCAACATCCTGGATGCCTTTGAACATGATTGGTCGAAAAAGCAACTGCAATGCACTTTTTGGGTGCGACCACACATCATCCAAGTTGTGCAACAGGTCTAGGTGTTCTACGTCTGTCATATGATGGTTTTTGGTGAGTGTTATCGTTTTCGGTCAAAAACCAAATCAAAACACGCATGTTGATAGCCCATGACCCTTGACTAAGTATTCGTCGCTTTCACTCATTTTGAGCCTAGCTCTTGTCAGGGTTTGTCGACACCTGGCCTTGCCAAGTGAACACGTCAAACAAAAGGAATGTAAATTTCCGTACAGCCCCCCAATTGGCGCCACCACTCCTTTGAAAAATGTACCATGGATTCGAACCCACCAAAATTTGGCCCCTCCCGGTTGGTAATACCCGGTGATTTGTCGGGGGTCGTGCTCTCCGCCGCGCTCGAAAAGTGCCGTCCTTCTAAAAGATATGGAAAGATATATTCAGCACTGTGAAAACCCCACATGTATTAAACATGCTTGGACGTGGGAGAGAAACCAAAACGATCAAACAAAGCAACTCCAGCACCTGATTCCGCGCGCCATCGAGCCCAAAAAGAACCCCAGCAAGTTCGGCCGTTCAGTCGTAGCAGGTTCGATCCAGGCTGCATCTGTAGCAGGTTCGCGGCATCGCCCCAGTCAAGGCCATTGGAGATGGCCCGGAATAAGGTGGTCACCGAGGCCTCAGGGAATGGCACCGAGGCGCTGGAGGCCGGCATTGCTGCCGTGGTGGCGATTGCTGCCGTGGTCAGAAGGGGAGGAAGATGAGGAAGGCACCATGGGGAGGTTGAAAGAAGAAGATGCAACTCACCTGTCGTGAAGAAACATCCTCCATGATACCATAGAATACCACAGAATCTTCAAGGGATCACTATAGTGCCGTTCTGTGAACCAAGTTTGGATTTAAGGTGTGCCAACACAAAGAAGCAGGTCTTATTGTGAAGCAACAACATGATACCAACATAAATAAGCAGCTGTAGCCGATCTTGATGCTACTTTGGGTCAATCTGAGTGGATCTACCATCTGTGGGTGAATAGGCAAATGAACTATATTATACAAAGCAAGTTAGAACCTTGGATTAGTGATTCTTGATGACTTCCCAACTCAGCATTCAATGTTCCTGCCACCGTACCCTCAAACATGATCTTGTTGAGGTGCATGTTCTTGTCATGCTAAGTGCACCGTACCCGTGAAAAAACGAACGGCGCCTTGAAAGAAGGCCTGTTCATGGCGGCCTGTTCATGGCCGAAACGTCCTTCACTCCCAAGTGGCGGTGATGGTTCCGAAGAAGCGGCGGAAAAGGTCCTAGTAGATTCCTTTGCTAGTAATTACAAGTGCCTTACTAGTAACAAGAAGCTATTAATTACAATTTTATTTAAATTCTTATTGTTACTAGTAAGGCACTTGTTTCTAATAGCTTCTTTGTTACTACTAGTAAGGCACCTGTTACTACTAGCGTGGCACTTGTTACTACTAGCTTCACTCCCAAGTGGCGGTGACGGTTCCGAAGAAGCGGCGGAATTGCTTGACCTCCGGATCCTCCAAGTTCACGTCTGCCTCCCGACGGACGGACCCCGGTTCTCGCGGGATTCCGGTGCTCCGGGGAGTCCAAGACCTGGAAAAAGGGGGTCAATGGGACCAGACCCAAAGGTGTTGGTTGCCCCTGTTTAAAGGGGAGACCTGGTAAACTATGTAAACTATATATATAGATCAAACTTGAGGAAATTAGGAGTGTGTCCTCTTGGGGATTCTCTCTATTTTCCCACAGGATTCTCTCCATTTTCCAATTGAACCCCGAGTGAAATGAGAAAAACTATGCAGTTACTGCAAGGAGAACTGTGGTCAAAGAAAGAATGCCTTATACCAACGGGCATCGGCACGGAACACCTGCTCGTTTGGGCTTTTTACTGCTTGGGAGTTCGGAGAGGGCACGTTGGTGGTTGGGACTTGGTAGTTTTGGGGCCGATGTTGCTACACTCCCTGGTTCACAATCATGGAAGTGGAATGCTTCGGCCCCTGGTTTCGACCATGTGCTCCAACAAGTGGGCCTGCTCGGCTCATTCCGGAACTTCGGTCGCTGACTGGGAACTCAACCAAAAGCGGCCGCCTCGCGCAGGTAGTCGAGACAGGCGTCCGTGAAGAGGAGCCCAAAGACGTACCTCGCTTTTGGAATCCAACGCAAAAAGTATCAAACGGTATCAACTCAAAAGGTGGGATCAACGCAAAACGATGCAAGACGTACCTCGCTTTGGTGTTTTTTTTGCGACCTTCTTCGGGGTGGACTTTGGCGATCAGATGTCTCTGGGACCCGTGATCCGACACCAGTCAACGTCGGCGGCACACCCACGGCCGATCACGGAGGCACCCGGAGGGATTGGACCGACCGATCTTGGAACTGGTGCAACTATGTCAACATCTTGGACCTGGGTCCGACCCAACTATGATCAAGACCGACTCACGGTCGCTGGTCACCGATTCAATCTCCGGAGTTGATGTGATGCTCAAACTCACATGATCTGCAGCCAGTTCCAGTGGACTACTCGGGGCCCGAAATCGCCTCAGCCATGCTCGCCAATATGGACAACCGACGTCAAATGCAACAACCATCTTCAGCCTCATGGGAGTTCATTTTTCAGAATAAGGCTGACAGGTCACAAATCCAGATCACACTACTTGTCTAGTTCTCCTGTTGACAGTCAACAAACACACTCATCCTCCGCACGAACGTACTCACCTTCGGATGGCGAGGTTTCTCCTTCGACTCACCCTCCTGGTCGCGCACATCATCAGGATCAACAAGAGCATTGCCCACACCTCAAAAAACCAAAAGAGCTAGAGTGCTGACTGCTGAAGCCCCCAGAAGAGGCAGCCGTTCACACGGTACCAGGTGTGAACCAATCAGCCCGACGGTGGCTTCCAATGTGTCGTTGTGGCCCCCCCGGCATCTAGATCCAAAGACGAAGGACACAAAAGAGGAAGAATCCAACAACAATCTGTCCTATCACTTCCTGCAGTATTGCAAAATACTAGCTACTTGTCTAGAAGGTGCGTTGTTCCTTTGTTCCTTTGTTCCGGAGCGATCCGAGGAAGCGTGGCGGGCGACGCGCCCTCTAGGCCAGTGACAGTGCGCTCCAGGCAATTCGTCAGAAGTACCCAATGAAATCATTCAGGAGCATCCGACGTTGAAAGGGATTTGGTACGTCAGAAGTACCTCTAACCCAAATGGTGAGGTTGAAAGAGTTGAAAGGATCTGGCGTTCCACGTTTCACGTGTAGAGTTCTTGTGATGGTGATCACCTCTCAGCCACCATATCGCAAGTGGAACCTGTTACTACCAGTTGCTCGTCCGCCATCTCCCAGTTCCAGCTGGGGCCGACTTTCTGGGCCTCTTCACACGGTTGATGGACCTATAGTGGGTTGAGAGTAGATGGCACCGGCACCCCAAGTTCGGTGGTTTATAAGATGCCTATCTAAAAGACATCTTGGGGTGCCAGTGCCATTGCCATCTAGTCTGAAACCAAAAGTATATAATGTAATGATTTAATTATATAATAAATGGTCCTAAGGACTGGATGCCTTCGATTCTCAGAGAACCGTGAAAATGGAGGACAAAGTCCGTCACATCTCACAGAGAACATGGGGCTCGGAACACTTCCTCAGTGGATGTTTCTGTCACTAGACCCCCCAACGGGTCACATTTGGGAGACGACGACACCCTCATAGCCTATGAGTGTATCAAAACATTTGCGGCTAATTCGATGGCTCCACCAACCCTTCGTGCAAAACCACGTGGTGCCTAATGAACTGCCGGCCCGGCACGAAGGACTTCGTGGTGTCCACCAAGCAGTGCATCAGGGTCCGCAGCGGGCGGACGTACTGCCTCGGTCCAAGCGCCGACCGCCGGTCTAAGCGCCGAAAGCTCGGAATGTTTCTAATAGCTTCTTGTTCCTAGTAGTAAGGCCCTTTGCCATCTTGGCTTTTGCAGGGATACCCTTTCTAATCCCTTCTCTACCAAGGACCCTTGAGTCTCAGAGATTGACCCTAGATCGCTCTATTGGATGGCTCACAAGTTAGCCAGGTCGAGTGCGACACAGCTCACTTTCGGCCAGCCTGCCATGCATGCAAGATATGCCACTAACATCTATTTGCCAGCATAATCTGTAATTGTTGAGGCCAGGGGACCATGTTTGGGGTCTACCAAACGCAACCATTGACTCCTGTCATACTAAATCTGCCACGTACCAAATCTGCCAGAAAATCTGCTCATGTTAGATTATGTTGCTGTAGATTTCTCCAAAAATGTGTGGGAACCCATTTCACCAGGTTGAACAACCAAACTCCACAGAGAGAGATGCTACCTGGGGTCCAAGCCAGCGACCGCCATTTTTATCATAGGTCTAAGGTCTGTAATGGGGCAATGGGTCAGGTTGAGAAAGACTCAGCGGAAAAAGAACTTGGAAAAGGAACTGGAAAGGAGGACAACAATGGAAAACTCTTGAAAACCCTACAATTCGAAGTCTTTCAGTGCCGCACTGTGGTACTATGACCGCTCAGTGTGGCATGACAGAACTGTCACACCTGGATCTGGTACCTCCAAGTGGCACGCATTCAAAATCTCTGCATTAGGACCTTTCTCCCCATCTTTCAACCAGGACAAGACCCCATGGAATATGCAGTGATATGCACTGTGCCACATGCAACGGCATCCAAGCGGCACGATGCGCAGCACCCGCAGCACCCGCGCTAGTCTGGAGACCTTGACCACCCGCAGTAGGCGGAGGTTGCCTGAGCAGGGATGTGCAGTGCTCAGGCAGGGGTGTGGATAAGCCCAGGGTCACTGTTCATCTGTGAGTGATCCGCAAGGATCTCATAGGTTCATCCTGAAAATTCATCCTGAACGCAGTTCTCAGGCTCGGGAAGTAATTCTGCAACCTGGAATTTGCATGTTTGTTGACGCGTGCTTTGCATGACTAGGTCCAGTATCTGCTAAAGGAAAATATGGTTTTGTTTGGTTGGTTGGTTGGTTGGTTTGTTGGTTGGTTGGTTGGTTGGTCGGTTGTGGTCGCTTGGTTGGTTTTGTTTGCAAGTTTGTTTGTTTGCTTGTTTGATTGATTGCTTTGCTTTGCTTTTTTTACTTGTTTTGATTGTTTCAGTCAACCCTCTTTCAGGTCATACCTCGATCGGAAATCCCGGTCGACTACTTGCAGGTTGAGTGAACCCACAAACCTCCCCTTCTAGATGGAGTATCCGTCTAAAGCACGTAACTTGGGATTTGGTCCCAACAAAGCTCAGAACCCACGATCGGGTTCTGTATCCCATTGACACAAACTGATTGCTCCATCTCTAGTCACCATCGAATCTCCAATTCTGCTGGTACTTGCAGTGGGTCTACTATGTTAGAGAACCTTCAGTGGGGCTAGCTGGATTCTGTCCAGCTCCCATCTCAGTTGGGGCAAGTGCGGTCAGCGCACCCTCTTCCGATGTCCATCCCCAATCATCCACAGTCCACAAGCACGTCTCACCGGTGGACAGACCCCAACAAGCAGGCGGAAAACGACAAACAAATAAACTTGGTCTAGTCTTCAGTGCCGAAAGTGCATGTTATGGAGTTCTTTCTGCAGCCCCAGCGGTCTTCTAATCAAATCTTGCTGTCCCTGCCTGACCAACGTCGCACTATTCACTATGACTTCCAAGCCCCAGCCCCAGCGAGAATGACCCAAGGATCTGCCGCGGCCGACGAGGGGCTGTTGGAGATGCCGTTGGCGCCCTCCACCTCCTTGGGCGAACGAGCACAACCCCGCCGAGCAGCCCGAGGCACTGGTGTTCTCATCCCTCCTATACTGTATGAAGAGGCTTTACAATCCAAATGGGGTTTTGTTGTTCATTAATTCAACCTTTGGACTTGGTTCGATATTTCTGCGCGAGATTCGTCGGTGCAAGTGAGACGGGTCGTTGCGTACGACCGGCCTGTGCGGACGTCCGAGCCTCGTCTCATCCACTCTGACCGTTTGACCCGTCCATGGGGCCCATATCGCCCTATCGGTGATTCAGTGACAGCTTTCAGTTTCGAACAAGCACCGTGTTGTGCTTGAGCCAACGTCCAACTCTGCCAACTGCCTGCGGTCTTTGGAGCAGAACGAGAAGCCACGGGCGGGTTGTCCTCAAAAATCCTGCAAGCCTCCTCTGTCTGTGATGCATCAGCCGTGCTGTCTTCGAACAGTCTGAATCTCGTTGCAAACAACTTCAGCATGCTTCAGCAACATCAGAAGCTCAGAAGTTCCATGATGATGCGACCACAGCTGGCCTCACCAGGTCAGTGTTCTTCCTCTTCTGCTGCCTGGACATCCTTTTTAAAAGAACTACGTTTGAGGCTACTTGTTGTATCCCAACAGCCCGAATCATTGCAAAGAAACAGTATCCTCCCAAATGATGTTGAGAATCGGAGAGGGAGGCCCTTTGAACATCATGAGTCTTTGACAGCCTTTGAGTCTTTCGATTCTATGAAGCCAAACATGTCAAAGACGCAGTTCCCTTTGAAAACCACCAGCTACCAAACTTGTCACGGTCTGCAGACTTTGCCATTCACAGTTTTTGCAGGAGGTGCCACAGCGGACCGGCTGCCACGACAAGCAAACGGTGCAGTGGATCAAAAGCTATGCAGCCGAGCACCCTGTGGCGTTTCCAGGACATAATAACTCAGCGTTTCCAAAACTTAGATACGCATAAATATGTACTGTATATATATATACAATAATATATATATATACAATAAACGCACACAGCATATATTATATATGATCCCAGAGGTCCAGAACCATGAGTGACAAGCTTTGGGGCGTCTGGTCGGAATCAGAAGATATGTTCTTACCAGTACATAGCAAAGCCGGACACGACGCACTGTATACTTTGGAAAGCTGGTATGAACCAGAATCCGTGGAATTTTGCCACTCTCCACACCGCACAAGTCGGCACCTGTGGATCTAGGGTTGAGCCAAACTGGAAGGCTCCGTCTATTCTTTGAAGTCAGTTTCATAGTGTATAACTATGCGCCCTGACCATCCCGAGCAGAAGAACTTGCTGGGTTCTACACCGATATGATCCGCTCAAGAAAAAAAGCAGTGTTATTGTCACCAAACCAAAAAAATCGCCATCGAATTGCTGCCACCCCAAAAATGAAAGACGCAGAGCGCGGCTCGCCCAGCCGGCTTCCAAGGATCGAAAATACTGACCGCCAGTTCGACCCAGGTCGAAGTGACCACGAAGACATCTAACCAGTTCCAGCCCCACCTGGGTCGGGGTCGAGCGTAAGTATAGGGTCGCGGGCGGTACGGTTTAGGCAAATCCCTCCAGAGATAGGGTTTAGGCTCTCTTTTTGAGCCAGGGCGTTTGACATGTCTTTGTGTGGATGTTTATATTGTGCCTGCACTATGTGACATATCATAGAGCTGGAGCAAATCGCCTCTACATAACCTTGGCTTGTAAATATTTGCGCAGCCAAAGGATTCCCCTAGGGTTGACTTGTTTGCTCCCTTGAACATCAAAATGAATATGCTGTCCATCTTCCACCCCACGGCCAAACATAGGCGCCTCTGTCTGTGTCTCGTGGGGACTTACAATCGACCAAAAAGAGGAATGCTTTGCGCAGCTTGCGCAGCACTTTTGAAAGGCCGTGCTGGGTTGCGTGGACATGTAAGGACTCCACACCCGACCATGGGACTCTCCTTTTCATCCAAAGAAAGGACCAAAGGCCTGCGGTCTCTCAGGCGATCCACCCTGGAGAGAGAGCCACCCCACCCGCCATTGGCGACGAGAGGCCCAGGGTAGAGGAAATATCTCTTCACACCCGAGGCCACCAAGCCTCGGACATCGACTGTTCTGCAAGAAGCAGGTGGTATAGGTGGTCATGTTCCCAATATCTTGGATTTGTCGAACCGAACCAAAACAGAGAACGGCTTCCCCAAAACCCACAGGGAAAAGAACAAATCACATCAAATCACCCTGAGCAAAACTAGGATTGCCAGATCTTCACGCCAGCATGACACCAGATCCGGATGGCACATCCCCAAGCTGGCAAATCTTGACTCGAGGACTCCAGCACTCCAGCATCTCGTATGTCAGATTGAAGATCAGACCTTCACCAAAGGAGAAGACTACAGAAAAACGTATATACAAAGCTTTACTAAGGAGGACAAAACTTCTGGTTGCCTTCTTCCAAACAATCCTACTCCGATGCCTTGTCCGTCCCTCACAGTTCATCCCAGGAAACGCAGCAGAACCTCCAATAGGAAGACCACAGCGTAGAACAAGTTCACCTTGTACACTGTGTTCTTCGCACACACGCGCGGACCATGAAATGACGCGCGGACCATGTTCCGAACTAAGTTGTTGTTCGACTAGGAAAACTGGTGAACTAGGGGTTGTCTGACAAGATAGGGAAGCAAAAATGCGGTCGAGATGCGTCTCCCTGGCTCAAAGCAAGAGGCATTCAATCTGTGGATCCATGATTTAGCCTTCTAAGACCATTAAAGAAAAGCTGATCTGGCGTTAGAGTCTAAAAATAAAAGTAGCCAAACAATTGTTGTTCGGTGAAACTCATGACAACCGTGGCTGGAATCATTGGGGTCTATGCGAACATCACAGTCCCACAGTTCGAGGAACGAACATGCATGAGGAAAAGCTTCAGAAGAGCGAGAACGATGTGTTTTGACATCATCCATGGCGAGTTATTTTATGAACATGTTTGCAATGTATGATGGCTAGTCGCTCAAGAAGTAAGTGCAATTCCACGTCGAAAAGGAGCGGCGATTCACGGTTTTCACGGGCGTTTTCGAGGCCCACGCCGAGAATAGCATCGGAAAGAAAGACCGAAAGATTCACCAACAGAGTGGAGTCCAACACTCGTTGGACTTGTTTCGGCATTGGATGTTCGTGTTTTTGGCTGAGTTCGGAAAGAAACCAAAATGTGGTTCGGAGAGCAAATATGCATGTAAATTGAATCAAATGTTGGTAGATTGGGTGAATCAAGTGTCCTCAAGTGAGGGAAAGGGGCAGTTCTTGTTTGCCCACTCTCGGTAGTAGCCCTGGGAAGTAGCTGATTTTTCAACAAGAAGAGAGGATTGGATAGGTTTCTGGACATGATGGGCTGATCAAAATCGGGTTCATCAATTCTGGATCAGCGACGGATCCAGAAATAAGAGACTAGAAATAAGAGACTTGAGCATCTTGGGCCATGTTCCCAGATTTTGCATTCGAGCACGCCCTTTTCCTGCTCATATCCTGTCTTTGCTCGGTGAGGATCCTAACATGCTCGGCGGAAAAAGATAGTAAATAGCGCTCGAGGAAACCCGACGAAACGAGTGGCGAACTCGCTCGCGCGAAACGTGTGTACGGTAAACCAGCGTCCTGGGGGAACCTGTAACATCGCGCCAGGCGACTTTTGCTGAGTCTTGAGTCTATGGCATGAATACTTCCACGTGTTTTCTAAACCAAGAATAGATATTTATTAATAGTGACAGTACCATGTGTAAGTCGCGAGTTACTATTCCCATGCCCAAGAATCATACATCACTGTAACCAGAGAAAACCTGTCTCTTCAATGGAATGGGGACGTGCTAATTATTCTCTATCCAGAAGCAATCGGTCGCTCTATCCCAGTATGACCTATATGGCCCAAACGTGTTGCGCGAAGAAACTGCTGTCTCCCCAAAAACGACGAAAGATCAAGACGATCACCAAAGCGCCAACACAGGTCGTCGGTGAAAGGCTGGAAAAGTGGGTCAACGGGTCCCTTTTTGGGTGGCCAACGGCATGACCCACGGGTCCCACGTGTTTTTGGGGTCATAAGTAGACACCTTTTAGGACGGCGGGCCCTGAGAAACATGGACTATTCTGCAGCTTTTTGGGTGATGCTCAACTCCTCAGAAACATGAAAGAAAAGCTTTAGCGACGCTCCAGGAAGGCCTGTCTCCAATGTCCATCTAAAGATGAATCAAAAACAACGGGAAAATGAACAGATCATGGCAGGTCACTCGCAACTGGAAAGGTGGATAGCCGCTGCCACATCAAAGAATGTGTTTTACCTCCACCTTATCTTGGAGATATAGTACTATAGTACATTAATATATGTATGCCACCCCTCCCAGACTGAACTTCAACAGAGACACCGCGGTAAAGGTTTGTTCCGCTTCCTTCGCATGGATGGGGTCGGTCGCGCTCATCTGCAGCTGCACGCCCAAGTAGACGGAGTTGGTGACGATCCTTGCCACGCTGAGGGGAGCGGTCGAACGGCCAACCCGGTCGGAACCGAGTGCAGTTCTATGAACCTCCACTCGCTGCGGGGATATGGCAGCAGTCTGGAGTTCGGTCAAGGTCTGCAGTTCCCTTCGGCCGTTCCTTCGTTGGAACTCTCGTGGGCCCTGATCCATGGGGCTGATCCCCCTGCGCCTCCGAAATCGGCCAAATGGACAGGGATGGACGTGGTAGGGAGTGACTTCAAGAGCTAGAAAGAATGAACTTTTAAGGTTTTTCCAGTCCCCTTTGGTGCAACAGCGGGTGCCAAAAGTATAAATCAAGAGTTAGTTATTTTCAAGCCCGAAGGTTGACATGTAAACGTCTAAAGAAGTTATTTATGATGCATTTCTGTTGCAAGGTTGTTGCATGGCTAGCTGTTTGGAGTATACCTTTCAAGACCGGGAGCCTAGAAAGGTTCGACCAAGGACAATTAAGACTGTCTCATCAGCGACTGTCTCATGAAGGCCACTGTTTGAGAAAGAATTAATTTTGGATTTATATAGTGCTGTATTTGGGAAGATATTAAAGCAATTAATCAAATGGAAGATGCGCTTTCGGGACAAGTTGCCATGCACCAGTAAATGGAAGAAATACCCCTTGTTGGTATGTAGCATGACCAATTTCTTCCATTTGAAGTGAAAGCCTGCTCTGTCATCAGAAAACAGCTGCCGCCAAAGCCGTATTTCAGGAAAATGCCAATTTTTCACAACTTGCTTCAAACAGACTCTAAACATCAATGGAAGACAGGAACTGAAGGAATATGACCATGAAAACAACTAAGAATTGAACATTAACTAGCTACTTTTTACACTTTTTCTCCTCTCCCCCTGTCTCTGTGTCTCCCTGAACGGGGGAGCTCAGAGACGTCACCGGCCCAGCGCTCGGTGTGCGCATCGTCGGCGCCCAACTCAGAGAAGACTCCCCGCTCCGAGACAGCGAAACCCGTTAAGGGAGGGAACGGCTCCCCCGGAGCTTCCTTGCAGAACCTGTAAAAACGTTTAGTTTTTGTTTAGGGTTTTAGGGTTATTGTTTAGCTGTTGGATTTGCATAGTTTTATGCACGGGAGGTTTACTAATCATAGGTTGACATGAGTCATTGTAACTTGACACCGCTCGATTTAGTACCAACCGTGTAGTACCACTCAACCGTGTAGTACCGCTCAATGTTTGGAAAAAGCAAACCAGCTGCAACCATTCAAACGGAAGAAATTGGCCTATGATTTATGGTTCCGGGTATTTCTTCCATTCAATTTGGCTTCCTGCAATGTTCAATCAACCCAGCAAATGGAAGATCGACTATTCTTTTATGCGAACAATTTCTTCCAAAATACAGCACTGCACTATAACTCTTTTTCAATGTTCTTTGGGATGTCTGTTTGGGGTATACCTTTGGGAGATTAGGGAATAGTATAAAGGTTTGGACCAGGGAGAGTTGACAATAGCATCAAAGAAGCATGGACACAAGATGTCTCTTTTTTTCTGGAGTTAGTTCCCTGTTGAAAAGTCGACAGCATCAAAGGAGCATGGACAGCAGGAATTAAATCTGGAGTTGATTCTGGCAGAACAAATACAATGAAACTGAATTATAAAAACAATAATACTATATAAATCTATAGAGGGAAAGCAGGACTTTCCCAGACGCCGACAGGGAGACACCGGGATGGCTGTCTCACGTCCAAACTTTGGGTACGCCTACACATCCCGCGGACAAAATGGTGCTTCTGGCATATTGGCTGGTAACACTCCAAGTCCCAGCATTATGCTGCAGATATCTGAAGGACTTTCTTGGTGGCGCTTGGACTTGTGATGCAGCCACTCAAAACCAGCATGCCACCACCCACTGCCCCATCCCAAACGCACCAGCTTGGTGCAACTTGGCTTGGCTTACGGCCCAAGGCACATGAGAGCGAAGAAGAGCTCGCAAAGATTGGACTTTACAACCTGATCGAATGTCGGAAGAGATCTCATTGAGTCGAAGAAAGCACCGAGAAGTTCACCCCAAAAAAACGGGTGCGATGTCGTGTTCGTCCGGAATAGGCCGGGAAGTTCGGGAAGAGATGTAGATTCCTTCCAGAGGATCCTCAAGGCTCCCTTCCATGACGTAGTGGGTGGTCACAGATGAAGAGTCCGAACCGAACCCCGAGTGACTGCAGTACATGTCCGAACCCGGATCCCGGGATCCTCATGAAACCGTACCCTTTCTCGGTGAAGAGATTGGAGCAAAAACCTAGAGCCCGAAGGGAAGGCATCGAGAAGCGAGAAGGGCAAGGCGGCACTGGTGAAGATGTGTAAGCTATTGAGTCAATAGCTCAATAGCGCAGGCAGCACTATTGAGTCATTGGCACTCCAGACGGCACTGGTGGTGTGAAGTGCCAATGACTCTTGAAACATTGCCCCAGAGCTCTGGGTGGAGTACGTCTCTTCCAAATCATAGTGCTGATGGTGAAGAGGTGCTGTCTGGGACTCCGCATGACCAAGGAGTGACCTCCTGAGAACAGCCGCCTAAGATGACCATCCCACCCACCACACCAAACACCCAATCAATAGCCCTCCCTTAAGCGACCTGAGCGTGCCTTTCTAGGCAATGTTCGTGGTTTTATTGAGGTGTGCTGACCTGAGACCTGAAGACAACGGAGGACAGGCTTTTTCAGGTTGCTGAGGACAGGACGAGATGATCAATGTTAGGGTCCGTGATGCCGAGTCTGAGTAGGTTCCATCGAATGCTTTTTCGGAGATGTCAATGCTCCACCAGAGACTTTGGAGAGGGGCCCCGACTACCGCTCTGAGACTACCGCAACAAGCCCATGGGAACAATGCTTTGGGGTACACATAGCCCATTCTCGTCCTCCAGGATACGTAGGCGACGCGCTGTTGACAGCGGGACCAAACACCGTTCGCTTGGAACTCATCCTCGGTTTTCAGCGCGGCAGCCTTCTTGGTGCGGTGAAAGAACGGCGTGATGCGTTTGCTATTGACGGGTCGTGAAGGTACAACTTGCGGCTGGTCGCTGGTGGCTCAGCGAAGCAGTGAAACAGCTTGAGATTTACAATCGCACTGAATAAATTTCGATGATATGATATAGGGCAGACTGCAAGGAAGAGCTTCTAATGCCACAGCTCATTATCTCGTGAGAACACTACAAGTTGTGGAAGTACCAGTTGTTTTTCAGATCTGTCATGTGCTTTTGATCCACACTCCTGCACAAAAAGAAAAAAACACTGAAGATCCGGCCATGTCGCTGATCTACCAGTACAGCCAGTACATGTCTTGGCCAAGGAACCATGCTAACCAAGGCACAAAACTCTACTTTCTCCACATCTTGTATGTACAGTACATTGTTATACATTGGCAAAGACAAAGAGCCCTGGTTCACTGGCACGTCCCGGAAATATGTTTTGGGGGGCTCCTCTCCATCGTTTGGATACTCCCAGTTCCATCCCATCGACCGTTCCGAACGCTCCTCTCTTCGAGCAAAGGGTCTGATCCTCCCACCACATCGCTGGAGGACCTGGGCTCTCTGGGTTGCTGCCCGAAGACAACCTCCCTGGAACCGCTGTTTGAGTAAATCGAGCCATTTGGGATCATGAATGAGGGGGTTGATCCTTTCCAAGGAATCCTGTATGAGTGCGAGAAACCAAAAACAGAAAACATCACATAGCAATCATGAACCGGAGGGGTTTGTATCAATTTTTGTCCTGTTCCAAAGAGGTTTATCATAATGGTTGTAATGTGGGATCTGGAAGAGCTGTCTGTATGTATGTTCTTTGATTCCTTACATGGGATGTCCAATAGGGGAACAAAGCCCCTACAACAATCCCAGGTCAGGTAAATCCAACATCTATATAATACTGGAAAACACATGAGCGTCTGCCAAAACGGACTGTCAAGTAGAGGACATGATTCAGCGAGGATATCGCTTTTGAGGGGGGCCTATCGCTGTTGGCCAAACTCCTGAAATTCACACCCACTCTTTACTAAATTAGTCATTGCACGTTTTGGCGGTTGCTCACATGTGGACACACTAGGCATCTAAGCTCCATGCATGCGTGCATACAAGCACACATCCATACATGATTTACTTTACTTTGCATTGCATTGCATCGCATTCCATCGCATTGCCATACATACATTACATTACATTACATTGCTTTACGTTACGTAAATACCCAAATCACATTGCCTTACCTTATGACATTACATTACATTGTCATTAAATTACCAACATGCATGCATAGACCTAGAACTCTCATCTGGCCAGTCATGGTATATATCTCAGAATAAGGGTGGCTTCCTCACTCCTCTCCTCACATCCCCTTTTCCCCCGGCTCGGTCGGAGGGAGGGAAAAGTTGATGGGTCGGACGGGGTCGTTCAGATGTCTCCATGACCTCTGTCACCAAAGACCACCCACGTCGTACGGTCATGGATGGTCATGGAGAGAGAGGGTCGAAAGGAAACAGTCAAAACAGTCACAGTTCTCCTCAAGATCGTTCACATCCCCCCAAAAACAGGTCCTCTCGTTCCAAACAACAGCCCCCTCGCGTCGTCTTTGGCGCGTTGTCTTCGATGTCGAAACGGTCTTTCCTCTGAGTGATTTCTTACTGGTCGACTGGTGAAATAGCTGTTGGTGCCACCGGGTCACTGATGGAAAATCCATCGAAAAACGGCCCTTCCAACTACAATACAGGGACCTTTAGTAGTTGGGGGTATGGAAAAAAAGAAAAACTAATGAAAAGACCCTGGGATGTTCATGGGTGTTGCATGATTTTCCAGGCGCCGAAGCGAGGATGAACGAGGAGGCGAGCTTTCACCGTGTCATGTCTTTCGGTCGCCAGCACCTGCTGAGCCAGCTCGGAGTGTTTGGCTGACAAGCCGCATCATCATCTGCTTCTTGAAGAAGTCCACCTTCGAGCCCTGCCGGTGAGCCAAGTCATAGCTGTTCAGCCCCTCCTGCACAACTCTTCGCGTGAGAAAGGCCGTGTCCGCCCACATCAAGCGACCGTGGGGCGAAGGGTCCTCTCCAACATCTATTGACTACTAGTGACCCCCGGAAAAAGTAATAAATATTATATATATATATATATGTCAGAAAGGTTGAGCATGTTGTAGAGTGGAAATCATTGAAAACTATCATCTGAGATGTGGATCCTAAAACATCTATCTCCAGGACCAGCACACGTCCTTGTCCGTGCTTCCCGTGCCACTGCCATGTGGCTATGGTCTTTTCTATGCCCTTCAATGCATCCTGACTGGCCGCCCTTGTTGGATAAATCGTAAAGATGACACACTCAGTCTCAGGATCTTGGACCGCCACGCTTGGTAGAGCGACAAAGAATTCTTTGTGACAAACCCCATGAAACTTGCCCAGTATCTGCTATGCCGAGCTTTGTTTCGTAGTTGTGCTCTACAATTCTCGCACCCATATTCTGCTCCCCAACTCTCCAAGTCCTTGGCAATTCCTTCTTGGCAGTCCCGCTCCCCCCAGTTCCCTCCTCCTCCCCTTCTTGGCAGGGTGGTGTGCAGGTCCCCTACCATCGACCCCACTGTGGAAAGGTGGGTGTCATGAGACCACCATGCCGGCCTCCTCACGCTTGTCTGGAACTCTGTCGCGAAAACAAAAGCCATCCAGGCAATTGCTGCCACGAACAGAAAAGGGTTCCAAGCTGGCAGTCGGATCACTGCATCTGACAGCACACAGGGTTCCAAGATTTGAGGATTCCAAGTTCCAGGCAGCACTCAACGTTCCAAGGTTCCAGGGTGGTGTTGGGCTGGAGGCAAACTGTGCACCACTCCTGTTGCAAACAGCTGCATTCGGCTGTTGGGCATTAGACTAGATACTCACCAAACCATGGCCCAACATGGCTCACCAAACCCCGCCCCTCGCGTTCAACGCAGGCGCCTCCGAGTGTTTCACCTCGGAGGCGGCGGACTGGACGGTGTTGCGGCCGGAGGTCCCCGTCGCGCTGACAGGGTCCTCATGCTTCTCCTGGAGCAGCCGAGTGCTGGGTGGGGTTTTGATGAGTTTCACTAATGCTGGTCACATTTGTTGGGTTTCACTAATGCTGGTCAGCTGAGACTCTTCTAAGCTGCAGAGACTAGGCAACTCTGCTGGCTGGCTGCCAGAAACGTCCAAGCCAGCTTGGGGTCGGGGTGACACTCATTTGAGGGAGGACTTATCCTCCACCAGCATCTCTCAAAGCTCTGATCAACCATGCAGTGGACGCCGTGATTTTTGGATGGTTTTTTACCTTTTGCTAAATAAATAGATGGGCCTCATTCGGCACCCTCCTAGCGGCCCAAGCAGTGAACTCATCTTCTACCTGAACCTACCTGCAGAATTTCACCTGCACATATCTATGGGAAGCATCAGGATTCTTCAAGTCTCGAGCAATGTCAGGTAGTGGACCATGTTCAGGGTCACGGATTCTGGATGCTTCGTTCACTACCTCCTACGGAGTCCGGCGGTTTCCGTGCATCAGTGGGAGATCTTGAGTGGGAAGCCGAACGGCACTTGCTCAGTGGGAGATGCTTTGGGATGTCTTTGGGCCTCGGAAAAAGAGGAGCGAACGACCACGACTCCACCCTCTGGACGTCGACGTCCGACGCGTCGCTCAGAGCATTCTCGACGTCCCATTCTCGACCGTTCTGCAAGAGCACCTCGTCAAGGGAGACCGGAAGCACCAGGTTGCTGCTGGCAGAGTTGTCCGAAAGATTCGCCACCACCTGCGAGCTGGGGCGCGACGGGGGGGACGGCTGTTTCTTGGCACTTCTGGGCCGGTCTCCAACCTCACCCAGAAAGGTACTTCTTTCAGAAATTGAGGAGTCCGTTTTGCACTTCCCTCCAAGTGCACTGGCAACGAGTGCAAGCTTGGAAGGCACAGGAGTGTTGCGCTGATATAAGTGGGAGTTCCCTCAGAGCAACCTCCTAATCTTCCTACCCTCTTTCGAAGTCCGTCCTTCTCCCCCATCTCTCCCATCGTCCACACCTTGGGCATCTGAGGCTCATCCGTCAACTCGTAGCCGAACAACGCCCCACGAGACATGGGCGATGTGGGCGACATCCCGTGGGGCATGAGCGATGCCGGCGACATTTGGCGGAACATGGGCGATGCGGGCGACATTTGGCGGGGCATGGACGGAGGATTTGGCAGCTCGGACTGCAATCGCTTCAGTGCCGGCAAGCCTCAGAGCAGCCGAAGAAGTGCACCGAGAAGTCAGGCAAAGGAGGAAGATGTAATATCCCAGCACTACTCCCAGCACTTGCACACATAGCACATCAAAGTCGAATTCGTCTACCTACTGTTTGATGTTGAGGTTAGGTGCCTTTCTCTTGTTTGTCGTCCGCAAGCAGACCACGAGGCATTGGAGGTCACTAATGAAAGGTCTTTTAAGGACTATTAGCCCCTGAAATTCTGCAAATGTCCAGCTGTACCTGTGTCACGACCTTGACTCTTCTACTTGATTGACAATCACCATTGTTTCATCCTCCACAGGTGTTGTTCCCATTCCTCCGTAAAAAAATGATGAAGGTATATATAAGTGATCATTTATAGTGTTGAATCCTTTGGCAGGGGCAAATGCGGAATTGCCTGCACCCATCTTGCACAAAGTGCCCTGAACTTTGCGAAAGCAGGCTCTCTTTAACAGAGTCGTGATTTACACTCCGAAGCATCACTCACTTGAAACGTTTGGGGGAAAAACAGTAAGAACGACCCCCTTGGATCGATTTCCGGGCGGCTGGAACCGGTCACCCGGCTGGTCGACCGCGAGAGCTTCGAGGCTTGAGAGAAAAAGGTCTGCCGCGGCGGTGGCGGCGACCAACCTCGGACGACGAAAGGACGAAAGAAAACATGCCGGAATTGGGAACCATGAAGGTTGCACGGATGGACGGATGGATGGATGGATTGATGGATGGATGGATGGATGGATGGATTGATGGATGGATGGATTGATGGATGGATGGATTGATGGATGGATGGATGGACGGACCTCTATCTAGTACCAGTAAAGAGGGGGGTGTTTACTTCTGTCTTCTGTCTGTGACACACATCCAGCACATTCGGCTTTTGATCCGATGTTCACCAGGCATTGATCCGGGCTCAGTTTGCTTGCATGTGTTTTTTCTGTCAATCCGACAAGTGCAAATTATCCCCGCAGGAGACCCCAAACAGTGTGTTTACTGTCTAGGGTCTAGGGGCGTAGAGGCACAAGGTCTAGAGATCTAGATGCCTTGGGTTGCAGAGAGAGGTGATGATGGTGGTGATGAAGATGGTGATGGCGGTGATGGTGGTGGTGATGGTAGTGATGGAAGTTCACCAACCAGGTGCAGGCTCAGAATTGAAGGTGCAGGTCCAGAGTTCCAGAGCTACTTCAAGGTCCACAAACTACTGCGCCTGCCACTCCACAAAGTACGGCAGCTGCCACAAAAATCTGCACTTCAAGGTCCACAAAGTACTGCACCTGCCACGAAATCTGCACCTCAAGGTCCACAAAGTACTGCGCCTGCCACGAAATCTGCACTTCAAGGTTCACAAAGTGCTGTGCCGGAGGTCCAAAAAGAAAAGCCCCTGCCACGAAATCCACGCGTCAAGGTCCACAAAGTGCTGCGCCTGCCACGAAATCATCACCGCAAGGTCCACAAAGCACTGCGCCTGCCATGAAATCTGCGCATCAAGATTCACACCACGCAGCCCTGCCAAAGCGATTCGCAGCAAGAGCACTTCCAAAGACAACACCAAGATGCCAAAACGCGGCTTTCGCTTGAGGCTTCCTCCGATTTCTGCGAACGAGCCACATGTCCAAAAGTCACGAGTCACTGCACCTGCCATGAGATCAGCTTGTCCAAAGTACTGCGCTTGCCACGAAATCTGTACATCTCCAGTCTCTGCAGCTGCCATGAAAAGTCAACTTTAGACCACCAAAGCACGAGGTTTCCCTCGTTGCCACGAAAAGTGATCACCAAGTCCGAAAATGAGCACGGCGCCACAACGAGAGCACCCGCGCCAGCCCACCAGATTCTGCAAGCCTGCGATTCTGCGAGCCTGCGCAGTCGAAATACACCTCGAAGATCTCGAGGCGAATGAATGTACTGTAAATAGCAGCGACTTAGCCGCATCCGGGCGCGAGCACCTCCGATCAAACACCCGTCCTTAACTCCTACTGTAAGAACCCCTAGTGTTACCACACTGTTTGGGGAACAATATGACATATACTGTACAACAACAAAAAGCAACACTTCCATCAATGTCCATCACAATATACCCAAGTGGCCGTTCATGAGCTGAGCAAAGTGGCGCTCCAAGCGCTTGTCCAAGTGCCGCAGGAGCTCTTCATGCTGATCTTCGAGGACCTGACGGGTTCAATGAATCCACTTTTTGATCCTACCCAGCACGGACTGCTTATTGATGACCTCACTGGTGCGAACCGTTAGGTATTTTTTTCTCGCTCGGAAAAGTCTCTGTAAACGATCAGGGGGCTGTTTGGGGGAGGGCCCCATTTGGGTGAATCCAAATAAAACAAATCCTTGAAATAATAAGCCAAACACATATCATATCCTGTACTGTACTGTATGTATCTATATATTATATTATATATAAACATGATACGTATAGATATTACATATAGATACATATAGCAATACTTGGGGCTAGCCACGCCAGCTCACGGGCGTGTGGGACGACCACTTCTCCAGGAGGGTCACCATTACTTTTTGACCCCGAACACGGTGAGAAGCCCACCCGCTAACACGAGCACCACTTCATCCAGAGGGTGAAAAGCTGCCAAAAAGTCCATCAACTGCCGTTCACCTCTCAAGATTCATTCCCTAATTATATAAGTAAGTAGGCACCTACTTAATTAAGTAAGGGAGGGGTAGCTACTAGGAACTTGTTCGCTCCTAGGTAGGACGCAGGCTAGCTAACGCTATTCATTTGGTTCCTAGAGTTACTAACTGCTGTTCACTTCTCAAGATTAGTTACTCAGTATGGATCTGTTCAGACCTCCAGCAGGTACCCCAGTCTCATCTCACATTCAAGTCTCCTCCACCAAAAGACAATATCCATCCAACTCAGTGCAACAGCGGGAGTTCCTCCGCGGGAGTTCCTCCGCTTCACCGCACTCGGAGAGCGCCGGTGCCGCCTTCTCGACCAGCGCCGGCAGGTTGGAGAGATCGTTCTCCTCGAAGCCGTGGAAGTTCTCCGTCGGACTGCCCGGCCGCCCCATGGCTCGTCCCAGGCTCGCTGCGCACGGCGAGGGGCGAAGGGGGCGGAGGCAGAGGAGGCTGGGCGATTAGAACTCCAAAGAAGAAACTGCAGCTGGGGAAGGCCAGGATAGGCCAGGAACAGTGGACGGTTCGTCTGGAGATTTGCATGCGCTGCTTGGAATCGTAGGGCGGTTTTGACCCAGAGCCACATGCTTCATCATCCCATGAAAGCGTGGGACAAACTGGACTCAACACCTACGGTAACTTGGGTACTTATCATTCTTCGTGTTAAATACCAGAAAACCCATTGTGCAACCCTATGCGTGCAGAAAGATCGTCCAAAATGTCCACTTCCATGTGATGGGACATCCACTGTTTCATCCGAGAGTATCGCTATCGTGGGTGGTGCCGATCGCTATCGTCTTCTGATGTCCCATCGATCGGAGATGATCGAATGGGGTGACGAGGTCGACACAGCTGCGGTGGAGGGTCGATGCATCAAAAGTGGGCACGGTGGTCTTTTAACCTGATGTTCAGATGGCATGAAGCCTCATGAAGCAATGGACTGTTCTTTGTGTTTGAAGTTGGTCTAGAAAACCAGCACATGAGGTATTTTGTGCCTACAATCACAGAGAGCTCTGATGAATGTGGGGTTCGTGAATCTCTTTGATATTCTGGAACCTCCAGTGGACTGTTGATGATCCGCTGAACAACCTTGATTCATCCTGGCACAAAAGAAGCAGCCAAATGTTCTGCATGTTTACTGTAAATTCTAGGAATCTCATGGAATGTCCTACCCTCTTTGCTAAGACGCCCACTTAAGAAGTTTCCCAAAGGCTACTTGCAAATGGTTCTCAGGCGTTGAGAAGAAAAGCCTGGACCCGCCCTCCAACCGTGGCGAGCACGAAGAAAGCGGTGAAATCAGAACTGACAGAGTTGGATGAAGGCAAGATGCTGGCATGCTTTCCTTCGATCATCCGAATGAGAAGAGAAAACTCCGCAACAGGCCAAGGCTGCGATTTGGCCGATCTCTGCAAGATTGAGAAGTTCCCCCGAGAGCAAAGGTCCTGATCTGACCCTCCCTTGATCTGCAACCTCTTGGTTCCCGGGCGATTCCTCCTCCGCGATGGGACACCGGGTGAGTTCCCAACACACCGGAGGTGGTCAACAGGCGGAAAGACAAAAGACAAAACAATCCTGTTTGCCCCCGCCCTGACTGGATCTTTGGGTTTTTGGTAGAAAATAAGAACCAACAAGGAGGTCGGGGGCTAGCAGCCGGTGGGTCTACGCCGGTTTCACCAAAATGATTCCGCCTTCAACATGCATCAGCTGTGCTACCTGAACGTGGACTGCACAATTCGATCTTGGGAAGATGACAAACTTGAACAAAACCCCCGAAGCGCTTCCCAATAGGCCAGCCGGAGACCACAAGCTCGGGGCAGCGCCCGACCATGACTGCTAACACTTCTGGAGTACCTTATATAGTTTGCCTGAAAGAATCCCAACTCCTCAAGCCACCTAAGACCTAATCCTACTTCTAAATCTTCTATACCCAAAATCCGCAAAACTCTCCAGAACCGGCTCCGTGCTCCGTCCTCCGAATCCTCCAAACTCTCCAGGTGCACCACGTCCGACGTCGTTCGGATCGGCTCGGAGGCGGGCCTCGGACCCCGCCCCGAGGACGGGTGGACGAGGCACCGTCGTATGAACCCACCGAAGATCACCAAGGGGTCCAGTGAGGTCCAAAGAAACGGGGGCGAATGTGTTCATTTCGCAAGGAAAAGCACGCCGTCGCCCCGAACCGTCTTCTTCCGTCGTCGCCTTCCCTTCAGAACCCTGATCCACGTCCAGCGAGGTGTCGCTGGGTCAAAGCCAACGGGAGAGAAGCCCAAGCGACGCCCAATCGACGCCCCGCCGAATGCCCTGCACTTCTGCTCAGTCACATCTCTGCCCTTCTCTTCCTCTCCTTCTCCATGGCCTGGTCGTCGAAGGGCGAAGGGTCGGCGAAGGGCGAAGGCTCCGTTTTTAAGGGGCGGGCTTGCTGAATTAAGTGTGCAGTAGGGCGCCTATACTGAATTAAGGGAGAAAGTTCTTCGCTCCTAGCTAGGACGCAGGATAGCTGACGCTCATGATTTGGTTCCTAGATCTTTGGGGAAACTTACATTCAGCAAGTTGTTTCCAACTGAGCTCGGTTCGATACGACGCGCACGGCGACCCTGCGGTTTGTACCTGTTTTCCTGGCTGAGCCGCACGTCGGATCGGAGACTGGAGGCTAGGGTTCATGATTCATGACATAGTGGAAGTTCAACTTCAATGACTTGCGGGTGATTCTTTGTTATCGCGATGTTCAAATCTGGAGCCACCAAGGGCGAAATGCGAAATGCTACAACTGCATTTAAAAGAGAAAAAACACCAGCTTGTCAATTCCGGCAGTGACTAGACCTCCCACGAAGAGGATATGAATAACAAAGAGATCTGGAGAAAATACCACCCTTCAGCATTTTAGGCACCCCACGTCACCCAACTCGACCAAATTCATTCCTCGTGGTCCGCAGTAGTAATTGCCCAACATCCACACTTGGATGATCCAAAAGCAAATCAATCAGAGCCGGACCCACGGTCTCATCTCACCCCCGCGGAACCGAACGCGGGTGACCTGCCTTCTACAACAACCCTTGCAACCACACCGCCGCGGGCACCGAACCGCCGCGGTTCTTCACCGGTTGGCACTTGTTCCTAGTAGCTTCTTGTTCCTAGTAGCGTGGCACTTGTTACTAGTAGCGATGCACTTGTTACTAATAGCTTCTTGTTCCTAGTAGCGTGGCACTTGTTACTAGTAGCGATGCACTTGTTCCTAGTAGCTTCTTGTTCCTAGTAGCGTGGCACTTGTTACTAGTAGCGATGCACTTGTTACTAATAGCTTCTTGTTACTACTAGTAAGGCACTTGTTACTAGTAGCGATGCACTTGTTACTACTAGTAAGGCAGTTGCGCCTCTCGGGTCTCTGCTTCCACCTTCCTCAGCGCCTCCTCAGGTGCATCCACACCCCACGACGAGGACGGAGGACTCGAAGGGACGAAGGTGGACGGTGTGTTCAGGTCAGGTCCTGAAAAAACAGATCAACGACAAGAAGTCGCCGTTTGGAAGCTGAGAAGCTCTGAAAGTCGCTGTTTGGTCAACCATATCACGGATAGAACTGGACTGAACGCTTTCCTGCGGTCCAAGTTCGCACTTCCGGGGCATCCAAAAGAATCTGTGGATGGCCGACATTGAAAGGTGCGTTTTTTCGCGCTGTGTTCCTTCTGGGTGTCCCATCTTGCCCCTGTCAGGAGTCCATGAGAAATGAATAAGGCAGTTCAGACTAGAAGAGAAACAAAACTACCGCAGCCATCCAGAGGCCCCTATGGGGTGGTTAATTATACTGTAGCCCTTAGAGGTGAAGGGATGTCCATTCACCACCCCTTAGGGGCTCCTGGTAGAAGTTACAGTATATACGTAATATATAAGTTGACAAAGGGCTATGCTTTCCTGGTGGGCTCAAAAACAATTCATTTAAACATTGCCTTGTTGAAAGCTGTTGGAGGGCTTGTCTTCCTAAGCCCAACCCCCCTCCCAGCAGTGAACACGCCACATCTTGTGGCGCTGAAAAACCGGGTCGGAGCTCTTTAGCCCAGGCACGAGATTCCTCCTTGGCTTCTGGGGTAGCTGGGCTAGGAGTTGCCGCCCGCGCTCCTCAGGAAACGGTCCGAGGAAGGTGGCACCGAGAAGGTGGGCCACCAATTCCCTGCGAAAGGAACGAGGCGAAGCTGAGGCATTGTTTCGGAAGCGCGATCCCTCAACTCACCTCCTCCCTCCGCCTACCAAATAGATGGAAACGTGATCCCGCCTGCGAAAAGTTAGATTGGCCGAACCTGGAAGGCAAGACCAAAAGTACAGTTATCCACAGGTTCCCTAGGCTCCGTGAAAAAATAGATAAAGTTGACTGGGTTTACCTCTACAAAGATCTGTTGACAACATGAGCATAGGGACTCACCAGAGCTGCCGAAATAAGATTCCTTTGGGGAAACCAACACGAAAATGCATTGCCCAAACCGACCTTGCCCTAGAGTCCTTGCATGAATAGGTTGGGCACCCCACCCAAACTAGAGTTGCCCAATGGTGGCCTTCCGCGTGTTATCAGGCCTGCAAGGGGCACTCCAATTAGTGACATTTGGGTTCATAGGCTGACTGTTGGCATCATCAAGTTTAGAGCCTGGCCTTTTGGATTCAATAAAGGTGGACACCAAAGACCCAGCACCAGACACTTCAAACACCACAGCCCATCAACCGCCACCACAAACTAAAGTCACCAGGGACCCAACCTCACCAACAGCAAACAGGTGATGGGCCGTGCGAAACCATAAATGTGAACCTGGGGGGTCCTAGGGTTTTACGTGTAAGGTAAGCATATCAACGAATATCCTCTACAATATGCTACCGTAGTAACCGTAGTATGTTTCTTTTGAGTTACCAGGGGGCCAAACCTCATAAACAATTATGTCATGCGCCACCTCTGGATACTAAAGTTGGGATCCAAGCTCTTAAGCCTGGAAGTTTATCGCCAAGGCCTGAAACTCAACCCAATAGCAATGGCCACCACCCTACCTAGGAGGGATGGCCTCCATCCTACTTGCGATGGCCTGCAACCTAAGAAAGGAAAAAGGAGACACTAAAGTTCCATAAAGTTCCTAAGTTCTGATGGATTCCCTCAAGCCTCAACTTTCGGACCCATCATCCCAAGGTCCCCTCATCCTCGCAACCCCAAATTTTCTGCTAGCTCCTCCTGAAGCAGAGGGTGGAAGATGCTGAAAACCGAAGGACCCTGTGAGGCTTGTGAGGCTCCACGTGACGCATGGTGCGCCTGACTCTCTTTCTTCGAAAACGAGCGAAGGCCCCGACCAAAGGGGCGGCCGAGACCTGACCACGACCGAGAGGCTGGGTCAAAGCGGAGTTCCCGACCGCCTGACAGAGGAGGCCGCTG